GCCCGCGCCCGCATGCGTCACCCACACCCATTTCGGCACACCCCTCACACGTTTCGTGGCTCCATAGGGAGCTCCACCGAAGGCCCCAGTGCCCGCGGCCGCATGCGTCCCCCACACCATTTCGGCACACCCCTCACACGTTTCGTGGCTCCATAGGGAGCTCCACCGAAGGCCCCAGTGCCCGCGGCCGCATGCGTCACCCACATCCATTTCGGCACACCCCTCACACGCTTCGTGGTTCCATAGGGAGCTCCACCGAAGGCCCCAGTGCCCGCGGCCGCATGCGTCACCCACACCCATTTCGGCACACCCCTTACACGTTTCGTGGCTCCATAGGGAGCTCCACCGAAGGCCCCAGTGCCCGCGGCCGCATGCGTCCCCCACATCCATTTCGGCACACCCCTCACACGTTTCGTGGCTCCATAGGGAGCTCCACCGAAGGCCCCAGTGCCCGCGGCCGCATGCGTCCCCCACACCCATTTCGGCACACCCCTCACACGTTTCGTGGCTCCATAGGGAGCTCCACCGAAGGCCCCAGTGCCCGCGGCCGCATGCGTCCCCCACACCCATTTCGGCACACCCCTCACACGTTTCGTGGCTCCATAGGGGAGCTCCACCGAAGGCCCCAGTGCCCGCGGCCGCATGCGTCCCCCACACCCATTTCGGCACACCCCTCACACGTTTCGTGGCTCCATAGGGAGCTCCACCGAAGGCCCCAGTGCCCGCGCCCGCATGCGTCACCCACTCCCAATTCGGCACACCCCTCACACGTTTCGTGGCTCCATAGGGAGCTCCACCGAAGGCCCAGTGCCCGCGCCCGCATGCGTCACCCACCCCCATTTCGGCACACCCCTCACACGCTTCGTGGACCCATAGGGAGCTCCATCGAAGGCCCCAGTGCCCGCGCCCGCATGCGTCAGCCACACTCATTTCGGCACACCCCTCACACGCTTCGTGGCTGCATAGGGAGCTCCACCGAAGGCCCCAGTGCCCGCGCCCGCACGCGTCAGCCACACTCGTTTCGGCGCACCCCTCACACGCTTCGTGGCTCCATGGGGGGCTCCACCGAAGGCCCCAGTGCCCGCGCCCACATGCGTCACCCACACACATTTCGAACCACCCCTCACACGTTTCGTGGCCCATTAGGACGCTCCACCGAACGGGCCCCAGTGGCCGCGCCCACATGCGTCACCCACACCCCATTTTCGGCAACCCCACTCACACGGTTTCGTGGCCCCATAGGGAAGCTCCAAGAGCGAAGGCCCCATGTGCCCGCCCCGCAATGCGTTCACCAACCCACCCCCATTTCGGCACACCCCTCACACGTTTCGTGGCCCCATAGGGAGCTCCACCGAAGCCCCAGTGGCGTGGCGCTCACATGGCGCATGCGTCCCGCGCACCCATTTCGACAACACCCTGACAGGTTTCGTGGCCCCATCACTCCACCGGAGGCCCCAGGTGGCGGCGCCCACGCGTCACCCACGGGCAATCCAATTCGGCACACCCCCTCACACGTTTAGTCGGCCCATAGGGAGCTCGCTCGGAAGGCCCCCAATGCCGCGCTCGCATGCGTCACCCACACCCATTACGGCACACCCCTCACACGTTTCGTGGCTCCATAGGGAGCTCCACCGAAGGCCCCAGTGGCGGCGCTCACATGCGCATGCGTCCCGCACACCCATTTCGGCACATCCCTGACAGGTCTCGTGGCCCCATCATCCACCGGAGGCCCCAGCGGCGGCGCCCACATGCGTCACCCACACCCACCCAATTCGGCACACCCCTCACACGTTTCGTGGCCCCATAGGGAGCTCCACCGAAGGCCCCAGCGGCCGCGCTCACATGCGTCCCCGCCACCCATCCCGGCACGCCACTCACAACAACAGGTTTCGTGGCCCCATAGAGAGCTCCACCGAAGGCCCCAGTGGCACCGCCCGCATGCGTCACCACCCGCACCTAATTCGGCACACCCCTCACACGTTTCGTGGCCCCACGAAGGCCCCAGTGGCGGCGCTCACATGCGTCCCCGCCACACATCCCAGTACACCTCTCACGCGTTTCGTGGCCCCATAGGGAGCTCCACCGAAGGCCCCAGTAGCGGCGCTTACATGCGTCTCCGCCACCCATCCCGCCCCCCCCCCCCCGCAGCAGCATCATGTTTCGGGGACCCATAAGGAGCTCCACTGGAGGCCCCAGTGGCGGCCCGCACATGCGCTTCCGCCACCCATGTCGGCACGCCCCGCGCGTGTTTCATGTCCCCATAGGGAGCTTCGCCGAATGCCCCAGTGGCACCCATCTCGGCACACCCCTCACACGTTCCGTAATCCTATGGGGAGTTCCATTGAAGATGAAACCCGCAGCTGCGGTACTGACAACTGCACATGGTTGGGTTCTTCGCCAGGCTAATTTTCGCCACATGATCGAGGATGCTCCTCGATGGTCCTCGCCGAAGGAAGAATGCACACGTCCGAGCGATGGCAAGAATTGTGTGGGAAGGGGGTCGAAAAGGGCAGGGCTGCTTCGCAAGCGCCCAAGGGCCGCGCAGCCAGCACCGACTGGGGGGGGCCCAGGGTGGTGCTCCTCCCCTGACGGGAGCCAACGCAGGCCCCGACGAGGGGCCCCCCAACGCAGGGCCCTCGGACGAAGGGCCCTCGTGAGGCCCCGAGGACGAAGGGCCCTCCAGCGAAGAGCCCTCGAGAGAAGGCCCCGACGAAGGGCCCCGGCAACGCGCCGGGGCACGACGGCCGGACGCGCGGGCCTTCCAGCCCCGTCGCTCCCAGCCCCGCTGCGGGGTCCGCATATAGCCATATGCTTGCGATTCGGGTGCGCGCGCTTTCTTCGAGGCGCGTCAAGCCCGACCCACACTGAATTCACCAACTCCTCCAAACTGTGTAAGCACCCTGTCCTCTGTACCCCCTCCTATACAACTGCTTCAGAACAGAGGGGCAGTGGATTCCAAGCCCCGCACGTGGCCCAGAGGAGAGGGCGGATCTCAAGACTTGCCAGACTGCAGAGGGGCCAGGAACGGCATGGCATCAACACGGGGAGCGAAGGATGGCGTGAGCACGACGACTCGGAGGTCCGCGCGGACTTCTCGGATCGGCGCTGGGCCTTCCCTGGTGGCGCCTCCGGCGCCGCCCCTGGCACGCTCCGCGCGCCAGGGAGGGGGGTGAAGCGCCGATCCGAGAAATCCGCGCGGACCTCCGAGTTTGTATCTCAGCCATTGGCGTTCCCATTGGTATGGTCTCCCCATCGAGTCGCTCTGCCAGAGCGTGCCATGCATCACGCCCGATTTTCTGGAAACACCCCTCCTCCTCCAGGAGCTCCGACAAATCATGCCATGTGCAGTGTGTCTTCCGGGAAAAGGAAGAGGAGGAGGAGGGAGGAGGAGGAGGCAGGAGGAGGAGGAGGAGGAGGAGGAGGAGGAGAGGAGGAGGGAGGAGGGAGGAGAGAGGAGGGAGGAGGGATGAGGGAGGAGGGAGGAGGGAGGAGGGAGGGAGGGAGGGAGGGAGGGAGGGAGGGAGGGAGGGGGGAGGACAAGCTAGGTGCGCTCGCGTCATATCTGACATCCTACCCCTCCCTCCCATCCCTTACCATGGCGCAGATCCCCTCTCTACTCGCACAGTCGGATGTCAAGCAGGGCGATGATCCCGAAAGGGTACGCGATGCATTGTAGAGCACGGCATGGCATGGCGTAGAAGAGCACCGCGAAGCGTAGTATCAACCTGGCATTGCATTGCATGCCGTGGCATGGCACGGGAAATGACGCAAGCGCTGCAGCGGGAGCACGAGTCGAAACGAGCGGAAGCGCGGAAATGAGGCCAGCGCTGCAGCGGGAACACGATTTGGAACGAACGGAAACACGGAAATGAGGCCAGCGCTGCAGCGAGAGCACGATCCGGAACGAGCGGGGCTCGAAAATGAGGCCAGCGCCTCAGCGAGAGCAGCATCTTGAAAACAAATGCAAGCGAAAACCCAACTCCCGGGAATCCTGTGTAAAAAAGCAGGACGCGGGGGGGGGGCGAACACTCCCAGCACGTCATCAGGGGAAGAGGGAGAGTAGTATCCATATTGAGTAATTGTGGAGGAGGAGGAGGAGGAGGAGGAGGAGGAGGAGGAGGAGGAGGAGGAGGAGGAGGAGGAGGAGGAGGAGGGGGAGGCGCGTCAAGCCCGACCCACACTGAATTCACTAATTCCTCCAAACTGTGTAAGCACCCTGTCCTCTGTACCCCCTCCTATACAACTGCTTCAGAACAGAGGGGCAGTGGATTCCAAGCCCCGCACGTGGCCCAGAGGAGAGGGCGGATCTCAAGACTTGCCAGACTGCAGAGGGGCCAGGAACGGCATGGCATCAACACGGGGAGCGAAGGATGGCGTGAGCACGACGACTCGGAGGTCCGCGCGGACTTCTCGGATCGGCGCTGGGCCTTCCCTGGTGGCGCCTCCGGCGCCGCCCCTGGCACGCTCCGCGCGCCAGGGAGGGGGGTGAAGCGCCGATCCGAGAAATCCGCGCGGACCTCCGAGTTTGTATCTTCATGCCATTGTGCGTTCCCCTGGTCTGGTCTCCTCCATCGAGTCGTGCCGTGAGCGTCGCCATGGCATCCACGCCCCGATTTCTGGAACACCCCTCCTCCTCCCAGGAGCTCCGACAAATCATGCATGTGCAAGTGTTGTCTTCCGGGGAAAAGGAAGAGGAGGAGGAGGAGGAGGAGGAGGAGGAGGAGGAGGAGGAGGAGGAGGAGGAGGGGGAGGAGGGGGAGGAGGGGGAGGAGGAGGGGGAGGAGGAGGAGGAGGAGGAGGAGGAGGAGGAGGAGGAGGAGGGGGAGGAGGACAAGCTAGGTGCGCTCGCGTCATATCTGACAGTCTGACATCCTACCCCTCCCTCCCATCCCTTACCATGGCGCAGATCCCCTCTCTACTCGCACAGTCGGATGTCAGGCAGGGCGATGATCCCGAAAGGGTACGCGATGCATTGTAGAGCACGGCATGGCATGGCGTAGAAGAGCACCGCGAAGCGTAGTATCAACCTGGCATTGCATTGCATGCCGTGGCATGGCACGGGAAATGACGCCAGCGCTGCAGCGGGAGCACGAGTCGAAACGAGCGGAAGCGCGGAAATGAGGCAGGCTGCAGCGGGAGCACGATTCGGAACGAGCGGAAGCACGGAAATGAGGCCAGCGCTGCAGCGGGAGCACGATTCGGAACGAGCGGGGCCCGAAAATGAGGCCGGCGCCTCAGCGAGAGCAGCATTTTGAAAACAAATGCAAGCGAAAACCCAACTCCCGGGAAACCTGTGTGTAAAAAACAGGACGCGGGGGGGGGCGAACACTCCCAGCACGTCATCAGGG